TCCAAATTCGTTCAACACATGTTAAAACATTAAACTAAATTAAATAGTTCAATTATACAAGTTTCAGCGGTACAGATGTACTAATTTATTGAGTTATGACGTTTCGCATCCATTTCAGGAGCATCCTAACAGTTTTGATAACAGCAAAAACAGAATTAATTCTGACGACGCAGCCTGAAAAGGATGTAATATGTCATTAATAAATAAATCAGTGCATCTATACCGTAGAAACTTGTTTTTATTTAGAGAGCGGTGTACACCACACTCTAAATAAAAAAGTTTCTAAAGTTTCTAAAACCTACAAAACAAATAGTTGAATTATAAATTTATTTATATGAATACCCGATAACGCCAAAGGCCCAAGCAGGAACTTCGACAGATCCGTAATAGTATCGCATCGTCAAGTTTCTATGAAAACTAAACAGCGTGTAAACCTACCGGGCGTAAGAGTAAACTGGCTCTTAATTTTCAAGTTTTCATACAAAACTTGACAATGACATTTCGGACTCGCAAACTATTCGATTTCGATTATGGTTCGCGCTAGGTGTACTGTACCCTTAGCAGGAACCATTATCGAATTCGTTACGTTTTCGAGTGAGAAATGTCAATGTCAAATTTTGTATGGAAATTTGAACAGCAGCGCCACAAATACGTAACGAGAAATAAAAATCAATACACATTTGACAATGACATTTCGTAATCGCAAACGATACGAATTCGATATTGGTTCTTGCTAAGGGTACTGGCCTCTGATTATACCGCCATGACAGTAACTGACCAAACAAACTTCGCTTTTGAATTATATTTATTTAATAATGTCGTTGCTAGAATATTTTCATACTCCATTCACGGTACGAACGATTGCTTCGCTCGCTCTCTACAAAATTAAAATTGAGCGAAGCGAAGCGAATCTCGCATCGCTCCCAGTGTGACCTGCGCTTAATAGACATGTCTGTCTTTATGGTAACTTATGTTATCCTGTACCATAAATTTTATCTAATAACATGAATAACTATTATTTTAGTGTCCATGGAAGGTTAAATAAAAACAATATGTCTGACTTTTAGCTGTGTCGTATACTCGTGTCGTCGGTGGGTTTGTTACTTACAGATCTAAAGGCAATGGGGTCTAGGGACGAACTTCTTCACGCACGCTTGACTAAGGGGGTAAGCTGGCCAATGCGTTACGCGTTACGAAAAGTGTGTTCGGGCGAGGCAAACGGGAATTGAGTGGGGGATATAAGTAGTACGCGCACATTTTCTTTCTCTTATGGCTAAATATAGTGAAATATGTATATCCAGACCCGTCTTTCCCAGTGGGCACTTTGGGCAAGTGCCCAGGGTCCCGCGATCGATAGGGGGCCCCCTCAGATCAAATACAAAGTCCCTAGTTCCTGTTAAATCACCAAACGGAAGTCATAGGGGCCCCATTATCCTAATATGCCCTGTACCTCCAATAGGTCAAAGACGGCAGTGTATATCTACATACATCTATGCATTTTACACACACATATATATATATATATATATATATATATATATATATATATATATGTGTCGGAGGGGCGAGCGGTAATAGGCGGTTGGCCACGTGGTTCGTCTTGATCCGCCATCTTGGGTATTCGATGTTATTTTCCGAAAATAAAACTGTTGTCTAGTGACCAAGCTAACGTTTAATTTGAATCTTCTAATCACTTTACAAAATCAGCAATGATTGCAAAGGTACAACCGGATTGCTTTGCGAAGCGTGGAGAGTTCTGTGCTAACGTCCGTTCACTATCGCAGCTCACGTCTGAATGCCGAATGCCCCTTCCAATGAAGAGTAAGACGCCATCCGCCGACATATATATATACATATATACAGATGGAGCTAAAGAAGTTTCACTTCAGTCGTATGGTCATAAGCACATTCGTGTTTTTTTCGTCTATCAGGTAGAATATCGAAAATTATTGGACAGATTTTTTAACAACCGAAATATTAATTAATTTGAAATGTCGGATGACGTAACATCTTGGTACAATGTTTACTTAGAAATGACGTCTCGAAGATAAAATTGGACTGAATATCGTGCCTCAAGTAAGTGATAAATTTCTTCATAAGAATAAAATTTATATTTTGTGTACATGTATGTAAGTCACCCTTTTCAATTCATGTAAATATTAAAGCTATTTTCTTTTCACTTGTACAAATAATCACAACTCTACAAATCAGCATAAAATTAAAAAGTAACTACTGAAAAGTACAATATAACCAATTTAACATGTCTTCTGATGAACTTTTGGCCGCGTTTCCACCTGCGAGAAATGTCCGACAGTCTGTCTGACAACATGTTGCAAATGTAACTACCTACGTAGCAATAAACATTTTATTGAAATGTCGGACATTTCTCGCAGAAGTTTTATAGCAAGTGGACACGAGGTCTTACACTTGACAGACAAAATAATTTTAAATTTGAGAGCCCTTTCACATTTTTTTGCAAAAAATCGTAATTTTTGAGCGGCTCGTTTACTCCCTTGGAAATGATTTTGACTATTTCAAGTAGAAGTAAACAGTAGATTTATTCTTCCTATTGTAACTTGATGTAGAATATTTGCAAATACTATTTTCCTTTTTTTTGTACTGATCGTTCTACTGCAGCTAGTTTACGGAAAAAACGATAATATGCACAACTTCAAACGCCTCAATCTCTCAATAATGTTCAATAAATTAGATCAAATTAATTACTACGACATAAGAAATATGTTGTTGTTGTAACATTATGTATTATAATTTTGATTTTGCGTCTTATTAATTATCAAAAGAAAAACATCTAACCTCCGTGAGTTTTCCCAAAAAGCAATGCAGGTTTACCTCGTATTTTGATAATGAATTAAATAGAATTACTATCAAAAACTTTCATTAAACTAATCTACCATCATTGAACTACTGAAATATGTATATATTTTTATAATTAGTTCATTCATAATTATTTTATAAGACTCGAAACATCACCCGTAAAATGCAATATAGGTATACTAGTGCAAATCTACCTACGCGCCGATCAGTACGGCAGCGGCGCAATTTTGTAAAAGGGCTCTTAAGATGTTTTTCAAGAATTATTTTTTTTAATTGTTCTTAACCTGGATCTAAACACTATTGAGAGACTACATTGATTTATATAAAATTACTATAACGTAAAATATTGAATATAAATGCGAAGTCCATGCAGACGAAGCCACGGCCGAAAGTTAGTAAATAAATAGAGGTTTTAAAGATCTTATTTAACATAATGACTAAAGTAAATCTGTAAACACTACACCCTACAATCTAAATTTACAAACAAGGGTGTTATTTTTACAATAAATAAATAAAAGCAACAAAATTATAACAACTATAAGGAATGTCTAAATGCTTGTCTTATGTTAAATTAAAACTAATTGATAATAAATTAAATAAGGTCGGCATGTGATTTAACGCGCATTATCTAACTTTAAAACAAGAAAGTACAACCATATATCTCTTTCTATATACTTGAAACAAACAAAAGAGATAACACAACAGTGCAACAGAGCACTGTCTATAACTTTTAAGAGAGAATTAACCCAGCTAAGCAGGTATAATACGGTCGCCGAGCAGAAAGAATTTCGTACAATGACCCCACGCTACCTATCCTTATTGCTCGCGCGCAATTATGTTGTTGTCACGCTTGCACACAGTACTACGCGCGGTACGTGTGCGAGTGAGACAGCAACATAAGTGCTCGCGAGCGATAAGGGTGGGAAGCGTGGGGTCATTGTACGAAATTCTTTCTGCTCGACGACCGTACTTTAATTAAACTAATTATATTTGTATTTTGTTAAAATAAATAACTATTTTACTTAAATCGATACTGGGATGATTATAAACCTATGTTTATTCATGTGTTCCATTTCCAACGTTTTGCATTTATTATTTCCAATCATACAAGTACAAACATATTTCAATAAGTAAAAATAAGTAATAGCATTAAGTATCTGTGTCAGCATAAAGTGTTATAAATGAAAAAGAGTTATTTGCATTTAAATAATAAATTAATAACAATTAAGTAGCTAATTAAAATAGAGTCAAATATACTAATACAGGTGTGAGGTAGACATATTTTGCAAGCGTGTCATGATTAAAATCGAGATTACCGAATCGAAAAATATAATGCAATATATTTTTTTGTATCAATATATCAACATATTATATAATATAATTTTTATATTTCTTTTAACAGGTACCAATATTAAGTTTAAATATAATATTTTAAATTTTTCGTCAACACCTTGTTAAGTACTTAAGTTTAATTTGTACATATAATGTCGCAATTTCGTAACTACATCGAATTTATTGTGTTTCTTATAATTATAATGGGGATGGAGGAGTTAATATTTCATATTGTGGGTGCCGTTATTTCAGCTGTGTAGACTACACAATTATCATTATTAAGTATTAATCGAGATCGAAATAACACTGGGCACAATGCAAAACGGTTATTATGCATTTAGTAATTAGGTTGGAAATCGCGTAAAACAATTTGTTGTCATAAATAAAACAAGTACTTTTTAGAGTGAGACGATGCTATATAACGGCTCTCTTCTCTCGTCGGAAATTAAATACAGTAAAACCCGTTTAAAACGATTTCACAGGGACTCAACCAAAAACGCGTCTTAAGCGGGAAAGCGTATTATGCGGGATTGTAGGGTAGGGAAATTTGGAATTTGTATACAGAATATTTAAGAATTATGTATGTTATAAAAAATGTACTTTATTATTACGTTATTTAAATTAATCACTTATTTTAGTTTGTCAAAAGGCATTAGCAACTACAAGATTTTCAACATAATTTAACTTTTGCATTGCGTCTTCGTTTTGATTTAAAGAAGATAAAATCTGAGTTGACTCATCTTCTACTAGAATTATCACTTAGGGCCTATTCTTGTGTGTTATTCACATTCTCATTGAATTTAATGTTGCTGCAAGAGGTAATATGTGTGGTACGATTTAGGCGTATTAAACGGGATGATGAATCGTATTAAGCGTAAAGAAAAATCTTCCTATTCCATCCATAGGGAAGGCCTGTGCCCCAGCAGTGGGGACATAAATAGGCTGATGATGATGATGATGAAGCGTTAAGAAATGTATGAAAACATGTCTCAAGTTGCAGGGACTGACGCAAAATGGCGTATTATGCGAGAAATCGTATTAGGCGTGATCATATTAAACGGATTCTACTGTAGATATCTTTTCAGCACCATGTACGAAGTAAACTTAGTCTTTTATGAATTTTTGAGATTATGGTAGATAAACTCAAGTTTACGCAATGAAAAATTAATGCAAAAGGCAAGAATCTAAAATAAATATTACAGGAGAAACTTACGTATGCGATTCTACGTTGTTCATTGTTAGCAATAAAGATCATTATCGCGTTTCAAGAGCGATTGTGGCCAGTTTTATTTGTGTTTTGAAAGTGCTTGCTCCTTGTATTTTCTAATTCACTGTTTATCCTCCATCGCGTTTTTTAGTTCCATTGCTAGTTTGTAGCCGAGTTCCGGCCGCCTGTCTCTTCCATCCACCATAGCTGCTACCTGCCGATGCAAAATGAACTTTAGTTTACTGTAACAGAGTTTATTTATCTATGGTTTAACAGTGTTGCACCGAAAATGTCTATTAAAATTATTTCAATTGACGTTAATAATCGAATAGTGAATCGATTAAATAAATGGTTATGGGCTAAAAAATCAACTGATAAAAAAAATTTTTGTATATAATAACTAGCGGCCAGCCCTAGCTTCGCTTCGGTGTAGAGCTGAAGTGTAGACTACAGTTTTTGTTCTCAGGCTTGTATTATACACAATGACATTCATCTATGATTATTCTTATAGCTGTATGCAAATTCTCAGCCCGATCGGTTTAAAAATTGACAACGTTTCATACAATCTTTCATTCCCTATTTTATCCCCTTGGGGGTAGAATTGATCAAAATCCTTTCTTAGCGGATGCCTACGTCATAACATCTACCTGCATGCCAGATTTCAGCCCGATCCGTCCAGTGGTTTGGGCTGTGCGTTGATAGATCACTATGTCAGTCAGTCACCTTTGAGTTTTGTGTATATAGATAAATACAATTATTCACATTAGTATAAAGTTGAGTACTATTAAAGGAAGCAATTAAACTGAATGCAGGACGTTCAACAGGATAATGCTGCCAGTTCGCTAGCCGACGATAGATATTATATAGCTAGATATTTAATAAATCACGCAAACCGATCGTTCAAAAAGAGTTTTATTAAGTAACGAAATATAGTTAACTATATTGCCAAAGACAGTTAACAGCACTCCGGGAGTGCCGGCAGAAGTGAAAACTTGAATATTAACGTTGTGCATTTTTGATATTTTGGAATGGTTAGGCAATTATTTTGCACGAATTGCTTTAATTATCAGTATAAAAGTACTATCATGTATGTGGAAGAATACAGTACAAAAATGAGTGTCAAATTTTGTGTGACTTTATACCACCATAATCTGTTTCTACCGAGCAGTTTTTCTCGTGTCTCTCTCACTACGGTACATTGGCGTAATTTCTGTGTGAAACGGAGTGTCACAGTCACAAAAACAAAGTACGTAACGAGAACTAAAAATCAATATACATTTGACAATGACATTTGGGACTCGCAAACGTTACGAATTCGATATTGGTTCGTGCTAAGGGTACAGAGTTCCAAATGTTTGGTGATTGAATGTTCAAATGATAAATAGACATACACGTATGAGGAGCTCGATGGCGCAGGTGGTTAGCGCGTTCGGCTGCGATCGTTGAAGTTAAGCAACTTTCGCAGCGGTCGGTCATTGGATGGGTGACCAAAAATTTACTATCTCGGGTTCCTCCGTGCTTCGGAAGGCACGTTAAGCCGTCGGTCCCGGCTGCATCTGCAGTCGTTAGCACCCGCCAATCCGCACTGGGTCCGCGTGGGGGGTCATGGCCCAATCTCCCTATTCCGTCCATAGGGAAGGCTTGTGCTCCAGGGGTGGGGCTGATGATGATGATGATGTACAGAGTTCGTACTGCATGTTATTATTACACTAGCAAACCAGTGAACCAAATGTTCACCAAAACCTGATTTCAAAAAAAAAAGTATTTAATTAATTGAGAACTTCGGAGATGTTGTGTGGTTTCGTTTGAAATTCGTGATTTCTCGAAAACCGGAAGTGCTACGTTACTCAAATCCGGTTTGTAGTCTTATCAGACTATTCTTAACTTATAACTTAAATATTCTCTTTATCTATCTCTTACGGTTTGGCCGCTGAAACAGCACCACAGACAGACGGACGGACGGACTTGTCTAATAGATAAGAGATATCGTCTAAATAATTTTGCGAGTATGTTTCTGTTTTTTTGTTTTTTTTTTTTTTTTTCTCTTATATTGTTATGCCGATAGTCAGTTGTCAAGAGAACTATAGGTGTCAATTGAAAATCAGCGTCAGGTCCCACAAACCTGACAACATGCTGAATTGACAACCTGTTTTGGCTCAGCCGCGAGATAGCAACAGAATAAATCATAGTTGTAACGACAGTTATTATTAGTTATTAGTGTGTGTTACTTTTTTGTGTAGTTTGTTTACGATAATTTTTCTTTTTCTTGTATTTTTTGTTCTCAAAATCTTGTATCTGCTGTCTCGTTGTTTGTGTCAAAATAAATGTATTTTCTTTCTTTCTTTCTTTCTTTCATATTCGTTGGGTCTCACCTCTTGCGAGGTGATGATGACTCCGTTGTTGTTGATGATGGTAGACTTGGTGCTTTCGATGTCCGCCAGGTCGACGCCCCGGCTGGCGTCGTCGATCAGTATCGCTCGATAACCGATGGCTAAAGCGTCCGCTATCGTTGCACCTTAATGCCAATATTATTCAAATTGAATAAACGAGAAATCTAAACACAATATTATAATGCGATTCAAATAAGAATAGGACCGACTGGGCGCCATATTGTGACGTCATAGCTGTCAATTTAAACTAAATAGGTAGAGTGTGCAAAAAAAAGAGGTTAATATTAAATAAAAGTTATTTATAATTTTTATTATTTTAAAGCATGTAACTGCTTGATGTTTAAATCTGAAGAGATGCTTGCAGCTTAAGAATGGCTAGAAGAATTTCGACGCGGTCCGTGAGGGCCGCGGTAGCATAATTGGTCAGTGCATTCGCCCGGATTGCGAAGGGTGCGGGTTCGAGTCCCGTCTGCTGCCTGGTCCGCGTGGAATTTTTTCTAGTTATATTTTCTTTAAAAGTTATTTCCTGATCGAGAAAAAAAAAACCGAATTTTAATAATACTTATTTATTAAGAGAAAGAACATTTATCAGAATCTAGTTCTTCAATTCCGCTCATCTCTGCATTACCGCCGTACAGTGGTCCGGATTTTTAAAATAGTGGACTTAGGATCAACTTTGCACAGCTTTTAAAAAATTGTAATTAATAGTAAATTAAATGCTGATTAATATTGTTTCATACTATTTTTCAAGAAAATGACTCCTTAATACTATAAAAAAATATTTACGAAAAAAATGTATGGAAAAAAATCTATTTTATTTTTTTCTTGGTAGGTTAGCAAAAGGTAGCAGTCAAACCTCATATGGTGGTTAGGGGCTATTGACCTTGACCCAACAACACCATAATTTTGTGCGTATCCTTGCGGCCTTGGGGCCAGCAAAATTTTAGTTATTTATGATTTATTTTTAAGCATTTAACTGCTAGATGTTTAAATCTAAATGAAATGAAATGAAATGAAATGAAATGAAATGAAATGAAATGTCATTTATTCAGTCTAGGCTGTTACAAGCACTTGTGAAGGTCAAGAAGCTACGCCATCGGTTCGCAAAACTACGGCGGGAGACCTTGTACTGAGAAGAACCGGCAAGAAACTCAGCAAGGGCTGTTTTTTTCTCCCTGTATTGTTATATACAGTGTCGTCAATTTGAAAAATTACTTCAGAAATACGTCTGAAGTCACTTTCCATTACATCATCTAGAATATAAATAGTTACAATTAATTTTATAGTTAACATTTTAAGTAGTATATAGGAAGCGGCATTAGATAGGTACAATATTACTGTTATGAAAAATGAGTAATACCCATTTAATATCAAATTATAAGAAACACTATGTCCATGCATTACGATCATTTAGATAATCATCAACTTTATAATAGCCCTTATTCATAAGAGTATTTTTGATCTGAGATTTAAATTTAGTCAGTGGAAGCTCAATCAGATCTTGGGGAACTTTGTTAAACAATGCAATACTACAACCCAGAAATGAACCTCTTGATTTTTGGAGTCTGAAACATGGAACGGCAAGCTTGTTCTTAAATCTCGTGTTAAAGTTATGGGTTTGACTTTTTTTTGCAAATTCATCATAGTTTTTTCTTACATATATTAAATTTTCATAAATGTATTGCGACGCCAGTGTTAAAATATTAATTTCTTTAAATTTTTCTCTAAGGGATTCTCTTGCCTTTAAATTGTATATGGCGCGAACAGCTCTCTTTTGCAGTATGAAAATACTTTCGATATTAGCGGCTGAGCCCCACAACAAAAGGCCATATGACATAACACTGTGAAAGTAACCAAAGTAAACTAATCTTGCCGTTTCCGTTAAAGAAAAGATTACTAGAAAAAAATCCACGCGGACCAGGCAGCGGACGGGACGGGAGATTTTTTTCTAGTAAACTTTTCTTTAGATTTAGTTATTTATTTTCATACCTGTTCTTTCTCTACTTATTTTAAGCGTTTTCAATTAAAAATATTTTTGAATGTCTTATTTAACAAAACAAATCTTAATAAGTTCGCAATTAGACATATTGCTGAAGTATTTTGTACTTAACAAATTATGTATAGTCCAGTCAATGAAGGTTTTCACCTCCGATTCCGTTGAATCTCCATCGATTTTCAAGAAAATTGGTGAATAGGTAATAATAATAATAGTAATAATAATACCTTAATCATAATGATTATGATTGATGATAATAAATGATCTCGATGGCGACGAGGAGCTCGATGGCGCAGGTGGTTAGCGCGTTCGGCTGCGATCGTTGAAGTTAAGCAACTTTCGCAGTGGTCGGTCATTGGATGGGTGACCAAAAATCTTCTATCTCGAGTTCCTCCGTGCTTCGGAAGGCACGTTAAGCCGTTGGTCCCGGCTGCATCTGCAGTCGTTAGCACCCGCCAATCCGCACTGGGCCCGCGTGGGGGGTCATGGCCCAATCTCCCTGTTCCATCGATATTACTTGCTATATTTTATTTACTATTTTATCGAAATGTTTTTATAGTTTGGAAGAATATTTTAATGATCATTGACAATAAAATTGCAATTTATGTATAATTTTTGACATAACTGTTTAATTTATGATTGTATGAATACAGTTTAGAGAGTTCATTTATTATTATTTTATGTAGCTGACATTTAATTACTAAGTATTATTTTAATGTAATCGTACGCCCGAAATGGGCAAACTGTTGGCACTACCAAATTTTAAGAACCATTTGTCATCCATAGGGAAGGCCTGTGCCCCAGCAGTGGGGACATTAATAGGCTGATGATGATGATGATGATGATGATGAATAAATGATCGCTTCTCTCTCTCACCGACGCAGACGTCGTAGGCGAGGCCGCAGATGTAGATGTCTGTGGCGTTGCGCAAGCGCAGCTGCGAGATGAGGCTGGTGTCGGCCAGCTTCTTGTTGTCCCAGAACACGGAGTACGAGTCCACCTCCGGGTTGGTGCCTTTGTACACCTTTACTGCACCTTCAACCACCTGGTGACCAACAAAAATTGGTATAAAGATGAAGGAAGTTTTCAGTGTGGCAGGACAGGTAGCCAAGTTTGCCAGTTTCCGGGTATTACTTCTGTTTATACTTTAAATAAATCATGTGTATTTGACAAGTTTTAGAAAACGATATCACGTTATTGACTAATGTTTATGGAGTCCGCAAAAAGTGAATATTCATCATTTTGTTGTGTATTTCAGTAAAAAGAAAACAAATCAAAAACTCCATTTTCAAGTTGCCGCGAAAACGTTTCTCTTTACAATATGGCGTCTTACTAGTGTGTGACGTCACACGACTGTTATTAAAACGTCAAACGATACAATGCAATGTCACTTTAACCGGAAGTTTACTTGCGTGTGACGTCATTTTAGGCGCTGCCAATCCCAAACGTTTTGGGTCACGTGACAATAGATAAGAAAACTATTATCTTTTTCGTTAGTTTTTAGTAAAACTATGAATATTTTTATTGTAAAAATAGTAAAAACCCCTGCCAATATTCATTCTAAACACAGATGCTAACAATTGGCACTTTGTTTTTAACACTGTCAAATACCCTATTATAGTTATTATATATATATTGTCTATCACAGACAGTACCGGAACATCTCCGAAATTTGAGGTTTGAGTTAATTAAAGAATTCAAAAACTTTGAAGTTGAATTCTTTAATTAACTCAAAACCTCAAATTTCGGAGATGCTCCGGTACTGTCGCCGATAGATGATATGTATGATATCATCTAATTTTATTACTTCATTATTTGACTCTATAATGTTGCAGGACTGCCATTGGTCCGGAGCCTATTGTACCCATACCCTATCGACAGCTGCAAACCTGGATAAGGGAGCGCTGTCAACGACAACACGACGAATACTGGACAAAACTCACGGACAGCAGGCAAGCTAGGGAAGCCGTTCCCAAGGTAAACCTGCAGCTAACAAGTAAGTTAATCAGACTTCCTAGACAAGCCCTGAAACAAATCGTGGGTCTACTCACGGGTCACGGCTACTTCAACAAACACCTCTGTAATATAGGTATTTCTGACAGCCCTCTGTGCAGAGCCTGCTTGGAGGACGAGGGGACGAGCGCCCATGTGCTGCTGGAGTGCGGGGGCGTTACAAGACAAAGGACTTCTCTAATGGGAAGCCCGAAGACAATAGTAGAGGCCTGCAGTAACATTCAGGGACTGCTGAGCTTTCTGGAGGAGCTGGGATGGCAGGACTGATGTCAATCCCCACGCAAAATAAGCACTGGGTGTCGAGTTGCGGAAACAGCCTCCCGTTCTACTAAGACTAAGACTCTATAATGTAGTTAATCTGTGCTTGTCTCCACTGAATTGTCATATCTGTTTTCCCTTTTCTCATTGCAAAATCTAATAAATGTTTATTATTACTAAAGCTAATCTACTCACTCATGAAGGTAATGGGTGAAAATCGGTATTTTGCCTTAAAACTGGCAAATGTTTAGCCGAGCCTTTGTCTTTTGCTTTCTGCAGCATACATATGGGTATTTCATAACTGATTCGTGTATCTTTGATTTTTTTTTATTGTATTACTCAGAAATGTATATGTATATTGAAGAATAGTAGGTTTTTTTTTATGTTATAGGGGGCATACGAGCAGACGGCTCACCTGATGGTAAGTGATCACCGTCGCCCGTGGACACCTGCAACACCAGGAGTATCACAAATGCGATGCCGGCCTTTAAGAAAGAAGTACGCTCTTTTTTTAAAGGTTTTTGGGTCGTATCGGTCCGGAAACACTGCTGACGACAACATATTCCACAGTTTTGTCGTACGTGGTAAAAAATTTCGACAAAAACGCACGGTTGTGGACAGCCACGCATCAAGATGATGGGGATGAAATTTTGTCGCGATGTACGATGGCGAAATGCAGCAGCTGAAATTAATCCGAACAATTCCTCAGAACACTCCCCGTGATAAATGCGATAGAAGATGCAGAGCGAAGCTACATCCCTACGCAAAGCCAAAGGATCAAGCTGATCGGAAAGGTCCTGGTCGTCGACGATTCGAGCCGCTCGGCGCTGGATGCGATCCAAAGGGAGAAGCTGGTACTGGGGTGCCCCCGCCCAAAGATGAGAGCAGTACTCCATAATATATATATAGGTTATGCACTAAGGGGATAAAGCAGTGTCTTACGTCACGGGCAGCGTATTAGACCCTGAGCGTAACGAGGGAGTTAAAACTTAACTCCCTAACAAAGCGAGGGAGTTATGTAGAGTCCTGAGTGAAGCGAAGGGTCCAATATGCTGCCCGTGACGTAAAACAGGCTTTATCCCAGAGGTGGATACTCCACTTTTCATACCTACTGCGAGGCAATAAAAACCCAGGGCTACATAAATAAAATTGATATAGGAGACATTTGTCCAGTTATGGAGGGACAGAGTAATATTTTTATTAGGCACATTTACGGAAGCTGTGGTGGAATTTATTTGAGCAGTACTTAAAGATTAAGGAACTTGTGACTGATCCTCATTTTAGAATATGGATGGTGACGCTGCTTGTGGCAGCGAGTTTTCTGACACGTTATCTGATGTCGATGACTGTGGGAGCAAAGGTATCCAAGGATCAATAATATTCGACGATGTTTTTTGATGAATGTTCTCATTAATACGGCAACTTATTCTATTCTTATTTTGTTTTGAATTTTTTCAATTGCGTTTTTCTTTTGTTATAGGTGGCCAGTTCTCTTTTCGAATAAACTCTCTTTGCAATGCCATATTTTAAATGAAAAACTCTATGGTAGATACGTATCTTTTAGGAGTTTTCATACGAATTTTAACGTTCCAAATTCAAATCACTTTAATTCCTTGGGAGCTTCATACAACATTATCTTCCTTAGGAGTCAATGACTTGCTTTACTATGAGATTGCGTGATTTATAAACGGACATTGTCGAGCAGGTTGTATGAAAAAAAATAAACGCATTATCTATCTATCTAAGGAATGAATCACAATCTTCTATCTCGAGTTCCTCCGTGCTTCAGAAGGCACGTTAAGCCGTTGGTCCCGGCTGCCGGTCTGCAGTCGTTAGCACCCGCCAATTCGCACTGGGCCCACGTGGTGGGTCAGGGCCCATTCTCCCTATTCCATCCATAGGAAAGGCCTGTGCCCCAGCAGTGGGGACATTAATAGTCTGATGATTATTGGGACTTCGGCAGTCTATTTAAATAGGTTTAGCAGAGACTCCTGAGCGACACCTAACTCTTTCACCTCAAGGTCTAATGCTTCTAACCATACTACATAATATTGCATCATGAAAATGTCTACAAATTATAGGTTACGTAAAATAAAAGTCTCAACAGGGTGCTCTGTGACAGCCAATTAATGAAAATTATATACAAGCTGCAATGTCTCTATAATCACAAAAAGCATGGTCACATGAGTCAGCTGCTGACTTTATATTTATTTAAAGGTTTTATAGGAAACAAGATTCAAGGACAACAGAAAGTGTAGGCGGACAGTACTGTGAAGGTTTTTCATGAAAAACTAATGCTTTTAAATAATGCTAAGCTAGTAACTTCATTAACTTGTGCATATTAGAATTTATAAATGCGGAATTAAGTCTGCCTGTTAATCATGAACCCCAACTCACCATTCTTATTTACAACAGTATAGTGCGCAGCATTTTGGAATACGCTAGTCCTGTTTGGAATCCGGGGTACCAGATACATTCCAACCGAGTTGAACTTGTCCAAAAAAGATTTTTATACCACCTAGCTTTTTCAGATGGCATTTGTAAAAAACTTCGCCCTTATCAGACTCGCTCAACACATTATGGGTTAGCCCTCTTACACAGGCGTAGGAAGGTTTCGGATATAATGTTTTTATTTAAATTAATCCATGGTCACATCGACTCACCAGATATTTTAGAGCATATAAAATTTTCAGTTCCTAGAATCAGTGGCGGACTAACAGGGGGGCGGAAGGGGCGGCCCGCCCCGGGCCTCCAATTTTGGGGGCCCCCAAATGCCTCCGAGTTCCCCTGATCGCATCCTAAACTAGACTTTAAAAATGTGCTTAGTACCTACATAATTTCATCAAGATCAAAACACTACCGCCATCTAGACTTTTTACGCGGTACTAATATTCTTTTAACTTCGCTGAAGGCGTCCAATACGCTGGGGGAATTCCCGTCTCTGCAGCGGGTACTTCCTCAGGTACCCCTGAATGAATGAAGTACAAACAATTCACTCTTATACGCCTACATTTAATAACATTCACTATATTTACGTCGAAAAATAAACATTGGCCTTATTTAAAATCCGTTCAAAGTAATCTCATTAAAAAGTGTAATAGTGCTTTTGATTTTTGTTGCGGTATAAAAGTAAATGACTTTGAGTTGTTGAAATGAGTTGAGTCAGTGCATTTTTAAGTATTTGGAAAAAGTAAGTAATGCTTCGTATAATTTAGCCTAGAAATCATAATCCGTAGTTTCTAGTCAATATGCACCTACGTTTCTAGTCAATATGTACCATATTGTAGGTATGTATGTTTACTTAGCTTAAATAATTTAATTGGCATTTAAATTTCACTCGCCAGATTTTAACGAAACAAACTAAGAAACTACATTTTTTCTTTAAAACTGGGGGGCCTCATTTTGCCGCCCCGGGCCTCTGACGAGCTTAGTCCGCCACTGCCTAGAATTAATAGCCGGCTGCAAAATCGAAAGACTTTTATACTGCCCCCCTCCTCTTTATAGAATGTTGTCAACCTATAATGCTATTCGAAATGATTTCGACATATTTAAAGGTTCTAAAACCTCAACCAGAAAATGTTTAACTTCAATATTCTCTGATTAAGTTTTATTATTTTTTAGTTTTAAGTTTCCCTTTAATTTTTTAATTATAGAGTTTAACCTATATGTGTTATATTTATCCTTTAGTGTACATCCTTAGTAGTTAGGTAGTTTTAGAAATGCATGCTGTGCTTGCATCTAGTAGGTTGCAAAGTAGTTGATGATTTTTTTTGTATGCATATATTTACATGGATATTCTTTGTAACCAGTTTTGTGAGCCAAATATAAGAAAAAAAAAATCATTCGTGTCTGATTCAGTTTTGAAAATTTTCGATGTAGTGATAAAGGGAATCTTGCTCAGGGAACTTTTTGTTGCGAAAATATATCTTATGGGAAACGAAACAGGGTATAAATAAAGGAAATAAAGTCAGAGGGTACAGAGACGTCATTTTTAAAAATGACTTGAAAAATACTACTAGAAAAAAATCCACGCGGACCAGGCAACAGACGGGACTCGAACCCGCACCCTTCGCTATCCGGGTGAATGCACTGACCATTATGCTACCGCGGTCTGATGGCCGTTTTTTATACTTTCTAGTCTTTAGCCGCAAGGCAGCGCCATCTCTTTGCATTGTAGGTAACCCACAAGATTTTTCTTTAAAAATAGATAAATATAACTATAATTGCTATTTCTTCTTTAGAATGTTTAATACTTGTAAACTTATTCATTCGATATTGTGGGTTGCCTACAATGCGAAGAGATGGCGCTGCCTTGCAGCTTAAGAATCAATAGAAAGAATTCAACACTTCCATCAGGGCCACTGTAGCATAATGGTCAGTGCATTTGCCCGGATAGCGAGTCCCGTCTGCTGCCTGGTCCGCGTGGAATTCCTTCTAGTATCATTTTTCTTTAGATTCAAATATTTAGCAGGACTTTTTGGCGGGATCGGGAAGCGTCACTTTAGCAGTGTTGTTTTTCTTGTTAAAAATTGTGTTGCGGCGGATGTTAGTGTCTAATAATGGTGGATTATTAACCACCAAGTGTTCGGGAACATGCACAAGTGTTGGCAAGTGAAACAAAATAGCGGAAAGTGTCTTTCGACGTTCCCTCAAGAAGTCCACGGGGAGGTTCCAGTAAATTCCCACACTTTTACTGAAACATAGGGTAAGGGGGATTGACTTGAGTGCCACTTACTTTGACTTGATTTATTACTTTGACCACGAGTGCTATAGTATTTGTGAACATTTTAACACTTGACATTGGCTAAATGCACAAGCCGTGCGAAGCCATTCAGGAAAAAAAACATCTAGCAGATTTAACTGCTTAGAAAAGAAACGAAAATAGAATATATTGTTTTAAACTTTCATGGCCACTAACATTTTAGGAATATAAGTTATTTACGGGATTGTTACCATGTACCTTTTTTTTGGAAATTTACGTTATTTTATTACATAAAAGCAATCAAGAACAACGATACGCAGAAATCAGCCATCGCGGAACATTTGATTGATATTGATTCTGGTTTCTGGTCCTAACCACTGGATTGAGTTTCATAACCCACAGATTATCTCGACAGAACGCCACTACATACCAAGATTGGTCAGGGAAGCGATTGAAATAACAAAACATAAAAAATTTCAATCGTGAGGACGGGTTTAAATTGTCGAGTGTTTGGAATCCTGTGGTTCGTATGTGTAAAACCGTAAATAATCAAAAAAGTGTCGTGTCGCGATCCGATACTGTAAGTGCTGTGTGTCGAGAACAGTTTCGAGTGAATAGTGAGAATGTGAACAGTGGTACGGGTATCGAACGCAATAAAAGACTTCGTCGGAGGGTAGACCGATATGTCTGCCAATAACAGCCTACCCGCAATTACTTCAGTTACTCCGTGATCATGGCGCTTGCAGCAGTGCCAAAATATCGGAAACTCGCTAAAAACAAGGTACATGGTAACAATCCCGTAAATAACTTATATTACTATAATGAAAATAGAATAATATGACTTGAATATTTGAAAGTGTTGTCGTGAGGAAATGCGAATACCTTTAAGTCCTTGTGCAGGTCGGCGCCCCAGGTGTCCTGCACGCAGTGTCGCGGCCACAGGCGTTGTTTCATCGGCGGCGGGCCCGCGAACACTACAGTGTCATACGCCTGCGCTTTATCCGCAGACACCTGGAGGTAATCATCATCATCATCATTATCATCAGCCTATTAATGTTCCCACTGCTGGAGCACAGGCCTTCCCTGTCGATGGGAGGGAGATTGGGCCATGACCTACCACGCGGGACATTGGTGAGTGCTAACGACTGCAAATGCAGCCTGGATCAACGGCTTAACGTGCCTTCCGAAGCACGGAGGAACTCGAGATAGAAATTTTTGGTCACCCATCCAATGACCGACCACTGCGAAAGTTGCTTAACTTCAACGATCGCAGCCGAACGCGCTAACCACTTGCGCCATCGATCCCCTCCTCCTGGAGGTAATAGTATATCAAAATTAAATCAATATTTCTAACACACACCACCCTAGCCTTAAGCACGGTAATAATATCATACAGTATTCTATCTTCATACAAACGGTCGGAAAGCGAGTCATACCTACGCCACTCGAGTTCGATGTGCTCTCGGCGGGCACCCAGTCGCGAATGCACCGCCGCGCCGCAACGACGACCGAACGGTATGAATTGTTTTTTATGCAGTTAGCCGTGCTTAAACGTGCGTTTTGTATTGTAAATATTTGATTTAATTAAGTAGATACCTACATAATTTAGTATGGAAAAGAACAAACGACGATCAATATCGTACAACAGCACAATTGCTGTTTTTGGTTGCTTGAACTCTTCAATAACACACCCAGAGATATCATTTTTTAAATTACCTGAAATATTGGAAAGGTGTCTTACCTTTATAGAATATTTTTTATATACATATCTACTAGTACGTTATTTGTTTCTAATATTTAGGTATTTCGGTTTTTCCATCGGGCAAAATAATATATAAATAAGTGGTCAGGGGCCGATTTAGAGGTGCGAAGGCCCTGGGGCAACGAAGGTGTGGGGCTATTTTAAAATCTGGAACTCCGCGCCGTTTACGATTTGCAAATGTTGGTTATTCGTCGAAGTTTTGTTATTTTACAACGATATGAAATACCCTGGATACACCACGAGCGCTCAAAATGTGTCCCAATCAAGAAGTGCTTGAACACCACTCAAGAACTTCTTGGTTCACAGTGCGGACCGTTGAAAAGTCAAGATGCCGCGGAGCTCCGTGGCAAAATGCGAAAAAAGTGTCGTTTTTGCGACGGGTACCAAATCAATGTTTGTTAATTTAACGCATTTCAAGCAAATTTTGTTTTAATACTTACTATATACTGATTTAATAGAAAATATTTGTGATATTCAAATGCATGGTCGGTAATATAGCCGCCTCTTTTCCTCGCGGTCCATACCTGCTATTTTTGAGTTTTTGATATGGTTATTTTTACTAAAATACACAACATAATGATGAATATCCATCATCTTCATCTTTTTACGACTCCATAAACATTTGTCAATAACGTGAGATCGTTTTCTAAAACTTGTCAAATATCCTATTTCTCGGTTCGATTTTAATTGCGCAAAAAACTTTTAAGTGAATAAGTAAAAAAAAAAAGAAATCAACAAGTGATTGTAAACGTTTCAGTGACGTCAGCCACTCAGGCGGCGCGGCCTCGAGTGCGGCGTAACGTGGCGACGCACGCGACTTGCGACCCTCCTGCCTCGCACTACGGTCGAGTGTCGAGTGTCGAGTACGAGCCGCACGGTGCGACGGGCATTCGGGACAATGTGGGGTGGACTCATTGCTTAGTAAAAAAAGTATATAAAGAAAATATAACTAGAAAAAATTCCACGCGGACCAGGCAGCAGACGGGACTCGAACCCGCACCCTTCGCAATCCGGGCGAATGCACTGACCAATTATGCTACCGCGGCCCTCACGGACCGCGTCGAAATTCTTTCTAGCTATTCTTAAGCTGCAAGGCAGCGCCATCTCTTCGCATTATAGGTAAACCCACAATGTCAAATGAATACTTCTACAAGTATTAAACATTTGAAAGAAGAAATTATATACAAAAATGTGCGCGCGCACTGCTTTCTCTTGCTTCTATCCCCCACTCAACTCCCGTTCGCCTCGCCCGAACACACTTTTCGTAACGCGTAACGCATTCGCCAGCTTACCCCCCAAGTCAAGCGTGCTTGAAGAAATTTCACTTCAACAATTAAATGTTTTTTTCTCTACCTCTTCAAACATAGAATATACTTATAATTTTTATTATTTTAAAGCATGTAACTGCTTGATGTTTAAATCTATTGAAAATATAACTAGAAAAAAATCCACGCGGACCAGGCAGCAGACGGGACTCGAACCCGCACCCTTCGCAATCCGGGCGAATGGATTTTTTTCTAGTTATATTTTCAATAGATTTAAACATCAAGCAGTTACATGCTTTAAAAATAATAAAAATTATAACTATAATTGCTATTTCTTCTTTCAAATGTTTAATACTTGTAAAAGTATTCATTTGACATTGTGGGTTACCTATAATGCGAAGAGATGGCGCTGCCTTGCAGCTTAAGAATGGCTAGAAGAATTTCGACGCGGTCCGTGAGGGCCGCGGTAGCATAATTGGTCAGTGCATTCGCCCGAATTGCGAAGGGTGCGGGTTCGAGTCCCGTCTGCTGCCTGGTCCGCGTGGATTTTTTTCTAGTTATATTTTCTACAAAGAATATTTTTAAGCCTGACACGTTCATAGCACGGTCATGGTATGATACTGTGTAGTGGGTAGAGACCTTTAAATGCATACTAATAAAAACCGGATAAGTGCGAGTCGGATCCACCTACCGAGTTTCGTACAAATTAATAGGTACGCAACATAAACGGCCGTACCTTTTCTTTACGATATTTTAGAAGTTTGATTTTTGACAGACGGACAACAAAGCGTTCCTATAATAAGGGTTCCGTTTTATTTTTGAGGTACGGAACCCTAAAAACGAGTAGTAGGTAAGAATGTGATATAATTTCAATTTGAATAAAGAATTTCTCGATTAGAGTCGCGCAGACTTTATTGTGAAAAAGCTAAAAAAAACCGATAAAGGAGTGATCGTAAACGTAGTGACAGTGACGTCATCCACTCGTATGACCAATCGTAATATCGAATAGGAACTGCATGGTGCAACGGGAAGACGGGACAAAGTGGGGCGGAGCTATTGCTTAATATTTTTTTTTATGTGTTATTTGAAAGTTTGAAATAAGCATAGTAAGCAGTCAGATTATGGATCGTCTCGTACTCAGATGGGAATTTACAAAATTGTTTTTTTTTTATTAGAAGTGGTGGTGATGGTGTTATTTGACAGTTTCAAATAAGCATAACAAGCAGTCAGATTATAGATCGTCTCGTCCTCAGATGGGAATTTATAAAATGGATAATATTTTTTTTTATTTGAAGTGGTGGTGATGGTGTTATTTGACAGTTTGATATAAGCATAACAAGCAGTCAGATTATGGATCGTCTCGTCCTAACATGGGAATTTATAAAATGGAAAATGGTCTCAGTCACTCTGAGTGACAAGCAGTCAGATTATGGATCGTCTCGTCTCACATGGGAATTTATAAAATTAAAAATGGTCTCAGTCCCTCTGATTGACTATTAGATCAATAAAGGTATTTCGGGAAAGTAAAACTTTTTAAAGCTGTCATAAATTTTTATATTACACAAAAAATATCCTGTGCAAAGTGGACGCATGGTGTCCCTACGAATGTCGCGTGCCTTAGAGCTCTCCATCGAGCATCGATGTGTTTTCGATTTTAAAATACACGCAGAATTTGTAGTATTAGCGAATAAACACAGCGAGTGGTAAGTAACCACTGCGTTATGGGATAAACTTTGGCTATAAAATCAGCGCAGTCGCACTTATAGCCATATCTCTGCACAGATTTACTCGAAAGAAATTGAATCAGTCTCTGACATTAAATTTCTAGGTGTACAAATTGACTATCAAATGAATTGGAAATCTCATACTGAGATGCTTTGCATAAGGTTATGTTCCTCTGCTTACGTCATGTTCAAGCTTTCTAAGATAGCAAACACCAAGACCGTCGTAATGGCCTATCATGGATATATAGAATCCATATTACGCTATGGGTTAATATTCTGGGGCAATTCTACAAATAAAACAATGGTCTTTAAAGCGCAAAAAAGATGCATCAGGGCTATTAAGGGTTTAAAGTCTACTGATAGTTGTGAGGAGGTCTTTAAGCAGTTGAAAATTTTGACATTACCTTCCTTATATATTTATGAAGTTGCAGTGTTCGTCAAAAATAACTTCCATATGTTTCCTACATTTATAGAACAGAATTCGCATAGGAACTATAGGCGAGGGATAGGGAATACATTATGTGCAATGGAACGTAAAACTGCACTATTTAGCAATAGTGTCTTTGGTATGGCTACTACAATTTTTAACAAAATACCTAATAATATAAAGAGTTTGCCAATGACTATTTTTAAGAAACGCTTAATGAATCTGTTAAGTGACAAAGTATACTATACTACACAAGAGTTTCTTAGTGACACTTCCTTGAAAGAAATGGACATCATTACCTAATTAACTCATATTTTTAGCCTATTATAGCACAATTTATTATTATTATTATTATATATTTTTAGTTTGACATAAAAATATTGCTTAGTAATTTTGACATAAACATATTTTGACATTTATTTCTAACTATGACTTGTTGATTGTAATTGTAATATAATAATTTTGAATTTTATATAATTGTAAATCTGATTATTACTTAAAAAATATTGTATACCTTGTAATAAGGTCGAAATGTAGTGACACTAAACTTTTTATCTAACACCAAATTACTGTACTAACCTACATTTCACAATAAATCTTTTGAATTTGAATTTGAAAGGTTTACCTAATAGTGTAATCTGTGCTAATGGAGTAAGATCCCAAGACCGCCAGGCCATACTTATTTTCTCATGGACAAATAATGGATACCATTAACGTATACATACTCGCTAACTTATGCTGTGTGCCAATTTTTAGGTATCAAATAGCATCATCATCATCAGCCTATTAATGTCCCCACTGCTGGGGCACAGGTCTTCCCTATGGATGGAATAGGGAGATTGGGCCATGACCCACCACGCGGGCCCAGTGCGGATTGGTGGGTGCTAACGACTGCAAATGCAGCCGGGACCAACGGCTTAACGTGCCTTCCGAAGCACGGAGGAGCTCGAGATAGTCACCATCACCTTTCGCAGTGGTCGGTCAATGGATGGTCACCCATCCATTGACCGACCACTGCGAAAGTTGCTTAACTTCAACGATCGCAGCCAAACGCGCTAGCCACCTGCGCCATCGAGCTCCTCTCAATCAAAGCATCAAATAGCATAGGCAAGTAAAAATTTTACTCACTTCACTAACAGTCTGAGGAGTGATTCTTACGTATGTTATAGAGAATATTGTAAACAATTTTAAATTGATACTGCCAGACTAATTCTGTCAGCAGTATTTATTACCAGACACTTTGAGTGTTGCAAAAGTGTTTTGGAAGGTACGTCGAGCCGTTGGTATCGGCTGCATCTGCAGTTGTAAGCACCCAATCTGTACTAGGGCTGCGCGGTGAATCTCCCCATTCCATCCATAGGGAAAGCCTGTGCCCCATCAGGCGGGACAATAATAGACTATGTTAACGCCATCTATCCTTCGAAGAGAGAAACTGCAATCGGTCCATCGTCATCGTCCATTCATACATTCATTTCGTACCCATTCGTTACTACATTCACTCATTTTGATTTATATAGATTCACTCTCCCTCTTGCATTCGAATTCAAAAAAGACAACGTTCGCACATAATTTTAATAGATCTGTATTTTACTATGAATAATATTCTATAATCTGAATATCCGATTTTTATTGAGAAATCCACATATAGAAGACATTAAGCTATCGAACAGACTATGATGATGATATTTTTGCGATACAAAAATGGTTGCCTGTAAAGTCGGTTTTACGGGCGAAGATTTTACGTGACAACGTCTTTTTCTCGGTAGAATATTTATTGATATGAATATAATTAAATTGCACAATAGGAACAAGGAATTGAATGAAAATAAGAATTGCACAAATTTTAACTATAGAAATATATTTTGTTTACTAAAACATTGTACATGTAAACTTAAACTTAACACGAGAGACTCATCGTAACGTTACCGAGCGTTACACTTTTTCATAAGTGACTCCCAGCCGCAACCTAATTTAAGACGTTGTCACGTCAAAAACCAGAAGACCCCAACCCAAAAGAGGCCTAGAATCTTACTTAGAAACAAAACTACCAAAAGGTAGTATTATTTTACTTTTCTTCTGTAATGTGCATGTTTTTTCCTCAGACGGGCGCTCCAATAGCCTTACACGTCGCGGCACGTAACTCTAGCGTTGAAAAAAACCACGGTAATATTATCTATACAGTATTCTATCTTCATACAAACGGTCGGAAAGCGTGTCATACCTACGCCACTCGAGTTCGCGCGGCACCCGGTGGGCATCCAGTCGCGAATGCGCCGCAGCGACGACCGAACGGTGTCAATTGTTTTTTAAGCAGTTGGCCGTGCTTAAACGTTTGTATTGTGAATATTTGATTGAATTAAGTAGATACCTACATAATTTTATATGGCAAAGAGCAATAGTCGATATTGTGCTGTTTTTGGTTGCTTGAACTCTTCAATAATTAAACTTTTTATACGAATGCGTATTTATTATACTATCTCTTATCTATTAGACAAGTCCGTCCGTCCGTCTGTCTGTGGTGCTGTTTCAGCGGCCAAACCGTAAGAGATAGATAAAGAGAATATTTAAGTTGTAAGTTAAGAATAGTCTGATAAGACTACAAACCGGATTTGAGTAACGTAGCACTTCCGGTTTTCGAGAAATCAGGTTTTGGTGAACATTTGGTTCACTGGTTTGCTAGTTATATTTAATAATAAAGCTTTTCGTACGTCTCAGTCGAGGCGTAAATATTTTTCTGTCTCAAATCTATATACTTTTTTTATTAAATATTACACATAAAATAACATGTATTTTATGTAACACTTCCTAATTCATTCACAGCATTATTTTACATATGATATAAAATATTTACAATCATAAAACTAGAAAGAAACTCAATTACGTAGATGAAATTAAAATACTGTAGGCGGTCAGCCCTACCGCGTGGATACGCCCCGCTCGGCCGTAGGCAGTTATTTCAAGGACAGGGCCGAGTCACAATACTGTATAGATAATATTACCGTGACAAAACGCTGGGGAGACAGCTGCGTGTGGGTACGACTGGAGAGCCAATCGGCGCAACGCACGCCCCCCGCGCACCTCGTTTCCCCCCAACACATCTTAATTATTAGTGCGCGCATTAACGGTCATCGCTAGAGTTTCGTGCCGCGACTTATACCTCTTAAATAGGATGGTGATAATGTGGGGTGATTTATCGGGCTGGAGGGATGCAGCAAACCGCACTGGGCCCACGTGGTAAATTGTTACGCAATCTCCAGTGCTCCAAGCCTGTGGTCCAGTGGGGATAAATACGACCTCCGTGGCCGAGTGGTTTGTACGCCCGGTTTCATGGTGTCGCCGACTCGAGAGGTCCCGGGATCGAATCCCGGTGGGGGCAGATGTTTGTGTGATGAATACGAGCATTTGTACTCCAGTCATGGATGTTTAATATGTATTTCTATATAAATACTAGCTGACCCAGCGTACTTCGTATTGCTTACAATAATTTGAAAGAAATGATAAACGACGAACGTCAAATGTTTGACAGGAATATACACATAGCCATCTGTCGGATCCAATGTTAAACATTCCAAAATCAACAACTACTAATAAATTCAAAATTAATTAAAAAAACATTGTCCAGCGGACAAAATTGTGAATCTAAACCATTCTCAGATCCCCTTGAACACACACAAAAAATTTCATCAAAATCGGTCCAGTCGTTTAAGAGAAGTTCAGTGACATACACACTCACAGAAGAATTATATATATAAAGATACTTATATATGTACAATATATGTATTCTATCTGTTACCCTAGTATCCCATAACACAAGCCTTATAGTGCTTACTTTGGGGCTAGGCTAATTGGCGTGTGTGTTAAAAAAAAAAAAAAGATGACGATTATAATGTACAGTGATTTACCGGACTGGAGGGATGCAGTTCTCGCATGTGCACGTTGTCTATGAAGGACACGTGGTCTGGGGGATGCCAGTCCAGCGAGTAGAACACCGCGTCGAAGGGAACCGTATCCAGGAGACGGTTGATCGGCTCCACCACCTGGAAATAGAACAGATGTTGTAATGGAAGAAATATTTGACGACCTCCGTAGCAAAGTGGTTTGTAAGCCGGGTTTCATGGTGTTGCAGACTCGAGACCTTATACACTATGCATTAAAGATAACTTTAAATAATGCCTTACATTGTTTTTGCGATCATCTTACGGAGCTCCATGTATCGTCCAATGTACCTTTTGGACAGGTTTCGGGCACGGTTTTGTTCGTGATGTTGTATCTAGGGTATTTAATACCGTTGTATTTTTATCTCTGGTGCAGGACCCTGACCGGTCATAATTAAGGGCCTGCCCCTCTAGCATGACCACCGAAACGGGATATGATAAAGCGATATATCGACATTAACTGTCAGACTACTGTCAAACTCCATAGTCATGCTAGAGGGGCTGGTCCTTTTTTAAGCAGCCTGAAGAAGCAAACTTAACCCTTCAGAAGTACGAAGGGATTTTGAGATAATAAATTACGACTACTATATACTATATTTGACGACTTCCGTGGCCGAGTGGTTTGTACGCCGGGTTACATGGTGTCGCCGACTCGAGACGTCCCGGGTTCGAATCCCGGTGGGGGCAGATGTTTGTGTGATGAATACGAGCATTTGTACTCCAGCCATAGATGGTTAATATCTATTTCTATATAAATATACTTATTTATGTACAGTATATGTATTCTATCCGTTACCCTAGCATCCCATAACACAAGCTTTATAGTGCTTACTTTGGGGCTAGGCTAATTGGTGTGAGTGTTGGAAATATTTATTTATTTATTTAACCATCCGAATCTTTCTACGGCGTTCGATCAAGTTCTGAAGTGGAGTGAACACCCTTTTGAGGCTTATTTAGAGGAGGAGTGTAGTATTTAGCGTAATAAATGGGATTGCTATCATGTACCATATAACCATTTGATTCCTGACCCACTTGCCCGAAATGGGGGGCAAGGATTACTTTTGGCTGATAGTACCTTGGTGTTTTTGCAAGCAGACCCCTCTTTCCCAGTGAGCACTTTGGGCAAGTGCCCCGCGATCGATAGGGGCCCACCTCAGTCCCTAGTTCCTGTTAGATCACCAAACGGGCCCCATTATCCTTATATGCCCAGGGCCTCCAATAGGTCAAAGACGGCACTGTTTAGGGGGCGTCCATAAATTACGTGAGATATTTAAGGGGGGAGGGGGTCGTGTCAAATCTCATCTAATCTTACGTTGGAGAGAGGGAGGGTCTCGGAAAATATCACGCAATTTTTTTTCTGACTGAAACAAAAAATATATATACTATTTTGGCCCATTTAATTCAGATTGTACATGCTTAAGGTTTAATCTAAGCACGAAGCATTTTTTTTTCTTTTTCAATAACAATCCAACGCGTTTACGCAAGAAACCCACATTTTCAAATTGTTGAATAAAATCTCACGACATCTCACCAGGGGGGGAGGGAGGGACAGAAAATTCAAAAAAGCACCTCACGTAATCTATGGACGGGCGTCCTTACAAGTATTCAATATTTCGGCACTGACTCTAACGTCAAAACTAATTTCATTTATTATTCACCTATTTTTTTCTTCACATTTTCCAGGCATACCATATTCTTGTACTCTATCGCAAAAGTTTGTTTAGAGTAGTGTTTTAGACTGACCCTAGGCAATAGTACGAGTGATATTTTTGGTGTCATCATCATCATCAGCCTATTAATGTCCCCACTGCTGGGGCACAGGCCTTCCCTATGGATGGAATAGGGAGATTGGGCCATGACCCACCACGCGGGCCCAGTGCGGATTGGCGGTTGCTAACGATTGCAGATGCAGCCGGGACCAACGTCTTAACATACCTTCCGAAGCACGGAGGAACTCGACATAGAAATTTTTGGTCACCCATCCAATGACCGACCACTGCGAAAGTTGCTTAACTTCAACGATCGCAGCCGAACGCGCTAACCACCCGCGCCATCGAGCTCCTCCATTTTTGGTTTCGCAAGTTTTAAACTTTTAACTTACAACAAAACTTGCCTGGCATTAACAGTTCATAAAACGCCTTTAGCTGTCGTAGTAATCTACCAAGATTTCTTTAAAATCAACACTTGAAAAGCTAAATGATTTCGCGTCCTTGGTGCACTGTCAAAGTGAAGTCATAAGCGCCGAATCGACCTCGAATAACGACCGTTTTGTTATGACAATAGGGTAATAAATTAATCGGCATGATTTAAAGGTTGGGCGGCATCGGTTTTGCGCAGTATAATTCACTTTGTGCGGTCGCCGACGCCCGCGACTGTGCTACTTCCGTTTCCTTTGTCGGTGAAATTGGTGGATACTAGCACGGCCTTTATTTTCTATGCTAATAATTTGCTCCTCAACCTTTGAGTGTTTGACTAATTGTATTGAATGGCTGAAATGTAATTACCATTGTATCGGGCCCAACGAATTCGTAATTTCAGTGGGTTCCCTCTATGTGGCATAATTTTGTTGCTTCGAAATGAATTTGACATAACACACGCCTGAAAGATTAAGGCATATTTTTTTGTTAATATAAGATTATGTACACAGGCCAATCAATTCACAATGGCAAACTTTTAAGATCGATTTTATTAGGCATATTTAGCTTTAGCAAAAATTTACTCTGCATAATCTCGCTAAGCATAGGTGTTGGTTGTGAATGAGTTAGATTAGGTTAGTGTTACGCGACTTGGGATGATAATCGATAGCAAAGTAATCGATTATTCGATAATCGATTATTTCTACACTGTCGATTACAATTAATCGATTAATTGCACTTATGATATCGATTAATCGAAGAAAAATTCCAGACTTTGTAAGAAAATAAATGTTCCTTCGAAATACAAAAAAAAAATGGGTGCGTGTACTTATGTAGGCGCGTGAGAAGTTATCCTTCTTTGGCATCGTTTAAAATTAGTTTTTAATTGCATGCAAATAATTAATTACAATAAATTAATAAAAAGTCTGGAAAAGGACACAGTCAATAAAGTTCAGTTTTAATTTGAAAAAATAAATAAATATTAAATTAAAATCGCTACTGAATATAATTTATTAGAACATATGTGATTTGCACTTGTATGAAACTCAAACACGTATTCCGAATACACAAACTAGAAACATGTGGATAAATATTATAAATATGAATACCTATAACTGTTTCTTTATTACAAAAAATAAAGATGTGGTTTTTGGTTCTACTACACAAATGGTCAAGAGATGGCGCTGTAGTCTCCTGAATCGCGCTTTGGTTCCGTTGTTCCAGATTAATAAATACTTTTGATAGGCCTTCACAATGCAGTCGTTAGCACCCACTAAATAGAGATTCTATTTCTATTTTGTTGGTAGATTTTCTTAATGTGCGGTAAACACAAAAGTAACCGCATGAAGTTGGTCGCTAAAGCGACCAACTTCATGCTGTTAAAATTTTGTGTTACAGTGATGCGCACGCATCTTAAAATTTCACTCTCATCATTTTTTCATAACGCGCCTAAAGAAGTATAACTTCAAAAAAATACATAGACATTAATTACAAATAAAAGAATTACAATTTTAAAATAAGAATGTTTATTTAATTACTAACATTTCAATTGAGATTCATCTATGGATGACAGAAAAATTAACATCGAAAGATGAGAACCAGTCAATCTGTTTTTCATGTCGGTGGCGATTTGCCCAGCTTCTGGAAATAGTCTTTCAGAAGGCGCAGGCGAGGAAATTATTGATAAATGCCCGATTGCTACTCTATAAATATTTGGATATTGGTTTTTAATAGTATCCCAGGCTATGTAAGGGTTTTGTATTTGGGATTTATTTCTATGAAGGTACTTAACATAATTTCAGACACAAGGTAATATTGTTTTTATGAAATAAATGACTAATGACTGTGGTCTTTTGCCACCATGAACATTTTGTTCCAGTTTGACATCTAGAAGAAACATCTTCATCAGCTTCAACTGCATAAACGTTATACATTATTACATATAGACAGAGATGATTTTAAAGACTAAAGTAACAGTGGGTATTGTATGGACAAAGCTGTCGGCTGTCGAAGCTTCTTATGATGATTTTTGAGACGTGTTTCATGTTTAGGCATTGTTAATGTATGAACTAACAAGACCGTAATGAAGGTAATTGCGAATCGATTAATCGATGTAAAATAATCGATTACCTCGATTATATTTATAGATTAATGATATTATAATTTATAGATTAATCGATTAATGCGCAAAATTTTACTAACGATTAATCGAATCGATATCGAACATCTCTAGTTGCGACTGCTGAATTTAGCAAAATTTCGCGCCATTTAGGTGGCTGCCACCTAATGTAATAGATAAATAAAACAAGGAAAAGTTCAATATTTGTATGCCAAAATATGATTCTGACTATGAACTTTCTACATTCTGCAATGAAGATGATTCGGGTTTACTAAATTATGTGTTTGAATGTCTGCTAAATTAGTGAATGCCGAATGTTTATTTGCGAAATGAATTTTATGCCATCCGCTGATATGCATAATAATATTATGACAATAAAAGTTCTGCGATACACGGTAGACCCGATTTCAATTTTAGTTTTTTTTAAACAAGACGCATCAAATTCCCTGCCCCACCTGATGTTAAGTGTAAGTGGAGCAGTGTTGCCAGATCTCCCGATTTTACAGGAGATCTCCTGTTTTTCTAAAATTTCTCCTGTTCTACTGTTTTTCTACATGAATCTTCTTAGAATACAATTTTCCGCAAATTTAAGAATTCTTTTCTATAGTTGTTAAGAGCAGTTTTCTTGTATTCCTATTCTCGCAAGTTCTAAATACAAGAGATCACTATTGTGACGGTTAAATAAATTCAAAAATACACCGCTGCGTGTTGATTCGTTTTCCAATCACAGCGTTATGCTTTTCAAAAAAAACTGGTAGATTTTCACCAGTGAATTCGTTGAACATTAATACCTCAGATTACAGAACTAAATGGTTAATAGGTTAAACGTTACTCAAACGTAAAAACGA